GCCCTGCTCTTGGCCATGCATCCCTGGCCATCCTGTTGTGCCAGCTCTGCCAACCTTCACACTTTTTCTGTGAGCCAACTCCACCTATCAATCCAGCAGAAAACTCTCAGGTTTTTTATCCTGGGTGCATTTTCTGCTGACTTAGTGGATATAATTGCTTCATGGGGGACCTGCCAAGTAGTTGATTGGAGAGGAGAAAGGGGAATGTGAAGGATTTCTCTCTTCTGGTGGAAGTGAGCTCTTACCACAACTGATCCAATTTCATGGCACTCACCCTTCATGCAGCACAGAGTTCATTTAGCAGAGCACTGAATCATGTACCTGCTTTTAAGCTTGTGCTTTTTAGAACAAAGGCCACTGTGTTAAATCATACAAGGACTTCCGAGAGCTTTTACCCGCAGGCCTATCTTCTGTCCTTTTGACTCCGGTAATCATTAGTTTACAGCATGTGATGGAGAACAGCATGTTGATTTCAGTTTGTGTACATGCTGAAAATTTGCTGGAGGAGCTTGCGGGAACTGAGAAACCTTTGTAATATGTAATTTCTGTCTTCTCTGAGATGTTATTGAAAACTATATCACACTGTCACATAAATCCACAGAATTACCATTATTCTCAAAGCAATGATTTAATCTTTACTTGGAGAGGGAGTTGTTCACATCAGCCAAGTGAAGTATCCCCCTAGATAAGTGCATCCTGCTCGTGACTTGTATCTCGACCCATATGTGCGACTCTGTAATCATGCCCCAGAAGAACAGCTTCAGCTATGGTGCAGGAGGCACCAACTTGTGAGGCAGAGGATACAGCTTTTGCAGCACTGTGATACTGTAACAGTTTGCTGGGACTGAAAGTCCCTTTCTCCCACCTCTACCTGTGCACTTCCATGGCTGTCTTTAAACTGGCGTTTGTCTGACCTTATGGGGAGGAGCTAAATTGACGGAAGACTCTTTACAGTTTCTGAAGGTTGCTTTTTCCAGAGTTTAACTTGCTGAGCTACCTACCTAAAAAGTCAGAAAAGTGTCAGTGCACAAGAGAAGAGGCAGGAGATGGCTTGATGCGGGAGATGGTGGTAGGTGGCTGGGAGAAAGGGTTTGGGGCTGCCCCATCTGTGGTGCCTCACCATTAACTTGGCTAAGCTCTACTGTAATGTGTGCCCTCACTCTTACAAGACAGATTTCAAAACAATCTGAAAATACTATTTTTTCAGATGTATTTCTAAGGTTGGTCACATGATAGGATTCATACACACACAGACTTTACAGATATAGTGCCACGTTGTCTATTTTTTAAATTAGACGCTGTGTTGTGAATGGACTATTACCTCTCAGTTTTACTTGGCTGTTCAGATTCCTGAGTATTACAAGGGTCACTTTGGAAAATTAAATGAGAGCTCTGAAACTCGGCGGGGGGGTGGAATCCAGCCAAGGGTAATAAAATGTAATGCATCAAAAATTACATAAATGGTGATTTTTAGCATTATTCACAGATGTAAAAATAAAGGGAGAATACTATTTTAAACTGCAGTGTCACGTGCCTTTCTAACAGTCCCTTGTCTGTATACTTATCTCTGAAACCCTTCAGGTAAATCTTTC